CTCCATACAATGCACTCCGTTCTCTGTCAGATCGGGACCAAAGTATGATCTCTACATCAAACATCTCCTCGAATTAAGGTTTATATTATATCATTCGTTTATTAGTCTTTCCATCCATCCATCCATTCGTTCATACATTCATTCATTTGTTCATTTATCTGTTTTCTCATTCCACCCATCCATTTGGTCATTCTTCATTCATTAATTAGTTTATCCATCATTCATTCATTCGTTCATCCATTCATTCGTTTGATCATACATTCCATCAAACATTAGCCACTATCTAAAAACCCAAAACAGGCAAGAATTATCTAATGACGCCTCACAAAAATCTGTGCTAAATAATTTAAAAGAAATGTCCGCATCCAGAGCATCACTTTCACTTTATAATATGGACGAGATTAGTAGTAACAATAGCAACTCCAGCGGTCTGGGAATTTCTCACAACAAAATGAAAATCGAAACTGAAAGTTTTGAAAGAACCAAGTCTATTGATAGCCTAAATGTAAGCTGGAGTTTTTTTTACATGTAAATGTAGTTTTATTTAAAATGTATGGACCTTACGTTCGTGTAACTTTGATTTTTTAATCTAGAAATATTTTTATCGATTTTTTGTTATGAAATGAGCTGTTTCTTCATTGAGCTAATTTCTTGATTCCCAACTAATTTTTTTCAAACATTTTTTTCAGAGTTCATCAAACGGTCGATTTTCACCAACAAATAACAGCAACAACATCAACGATAGCATCAACAAAAACAACAACAACTTCAGCAACAACAAACCCATGACAACATCAACAGCAATAACAGTCTTACACGATTTTATCAAAAACTTAGCTCTCAGCGTAGAACTTAATAATGGTAAAAATAAAAATAATAACTTCAGCTATAGACTTAATGAAAAGAAAAATAACAACAACAACAACGACGACAACAGCAACAACAATAATAATAATAACAGTAGATACTCGAAAATGACTGAAGAGCAGTTAATAAGGCAATCCAGCGCAGATGAATCGATAGAAAAAAAACATTTCGATGCAATAAATAGAATATGTGATCATTTGAAGGTTGGGCTGATTGATTGAATGAACGAATGAATGATTGATTGATTGAACGAATGAATGATCTAATAAAAGCATGAATGCATGCATCAATCAATCAACTAATCATTCATTCAATCGATCCGATCCACCAATTATGTGTGTGATGTGTGTGATTAAGTGTGTGATTAAAAATGTCGAAGACAAACTCTATAGAAATCTTAAAGATAAGAGTCAATAAAATAAAAATTATCACCATCATCATCATTGTTATTATTATTATTATGATTATTATTATTATTAATAATATTTCAGCAAGCATCATTTCTCCATGTCACCAACGTAATCATCCTTGGCTCCCTGGGCACGCAAACAACGTCTGCAAGCAGATCTGACGTCGACATCATCATCTACTGCAAAAGTATAATAATAATAATTATAAATTAATTATTAATTAATTATTTATTATTATTATTATTCAGATGAATGACTGATGAATGGATGAAAAAAATGGATGAACGAATGAATTATCTAATTGATTAGCGAATGATATAAAATAACGATCAATCAACAAATCATTCACTCGAACAATAATAAATATTTTAGTTATTAATTATTTTATAGTTAATTATAATTAGCTCAGAGGGGATTAGCTCAGACAGCAAGACGGCTAGTGGTTCATCTTAGTCAATTCTTTGTTTTTTCATTTACAGATTTACCGATCGTTAACTACGAGAAATGGATGCCAGCCTTATTACACACGCTCAAGCCTTCAATAATACAAAGTCTTAACAGTACTATAACCACATCCGAGTTAGAAAATTCGTCGTCATCATCATCATCATTTTCTTCTTCTTCATTCTTTCAATTTACCGATCACTCTATCCAATTCACGATAAATTCGGTTTTGGACGTTGATATTATGCTAGCTTCGGATCTCTCTAATACCGGCGATACAGAACAGTCTGTTGGAATCGATTCTAAATTAATTAAGCGAATATTCGACGCCGGTACTAATAAATCAACTGCCGATAAGTCGAATACCGATGTCGATATGTTCATTTCTGAATATGATATCAGCTGTTTGGATTTGTCCTGTTCTCATCTGAGGAAGATTCTCATAGACGAATTAAAGCCAGAGGTATGCAATTTAAATAATTTTGAGTTTAATTATGACAACATGATAAATCATTATTAATTTCAACTATAATTATTATGTCGGAATAACAATGGACAATTTTTTTTATGACTGAACAAACGAACGAACGAACGAATGGATGGATGAATGCACTGATCAACCAACCAATGACTGAATGATCTTTAACACAATGATCGAATGATTGAATAAACGAATGGATGAATTTATGAGTGAATGAGCGAATGAAAGAATGAACAAACAAAATATGGATGGATAAATGAGTACATGAAATAATTTTCAGATCAAAGATTACATAAAGGTAGTGAAACATTGGCGAAATAACATTAACTGGTCGAGATCAAGCTACAGACCAGACAGCTACCTTATATTACTTCTAGTCATACGTTCCGCAGAAATTTGCGAAAAGTAACAATACAATAATTATTATTAAAATCATATTTATTATTATTATTTTAAACCAAAATTAGAAAAGGCCCAAGTCTGTTTGAAGTGTTGGCTATGTTGGGAAGTTTGTTGAAAGAGCCAGAGCTAAGGTATAAAACTTGACGAAGATATTTTATCCACTCATCCATTCATCCATCCCATTCATTCATTCATTCATTCATTCATTCATTCATTCATTCATTCATTCATTCATTCATTCATTCATTCATTCATTCATTCATTCATTCATTCATTCATTCATTCATTCATTCATTCATTCATTCATTCATTCATTCATTCATTCATTCATTCATTCATTCATTCATTCATTCATTCAATCATTCATTCAATCAATCATTCATTCATTCATTCTATTTATAAATCATTTATACATTCATTCGTTCAGTCAGTCAGCCATTCATATATGCATTCATTCACTACAATACTCTGCTATACTACAACATACTCTCAATTGAATTTTCATAATTAGAGTGTTCTGGAATTGGTTTTACAATCCTTCTGAATTCATGAATATGGAATTTCATCCTCCAACTCCACTAATTTTAGATCCGGTAAATCCATCAGTGAACGTGGCGGCCAGACTTAAGTATTGGGGAGAGTTTAAAAGAGAATTCTTCAAATGGCTTACCGAATTAGATATCCCTATATAGATTCATTATATCAACATTTATTCATTGATGTAAATAAGTAATTTATTTATTTATTTTATTTTAATAATTTAATTCATTTTATAACGGTATATAAATTGGTTAATTTTGCATAATTTTTAAGAAGATTTCATTTGTTTGTAGACTTATCGCACACACACACACACCACACAGACACACACACAACACACCACACAAACACACACACATTTATATCTCAGTTTAAAATGTTACAAAATGTTATTTTTACCTTGTTAGAACATGCCCCAATGTGATGAAACTTTAAAAGACTCGTTTTTTATAGGTAGCCCACACTCCTGTACACATTATATCCAGGCCTGTACAGGCACAAACAAACAAATATATCCATAATTCAATTGTATTATGTATCCATAATTCATTTGTATTATGTATCCATAATTCATTTGTATTATCAATAGAACAAAAGTTTGTCAATAGATCAAACAAACAAAAAATGAGTTTTCCTATTTCAATAAAAGTAAATTCTGAATTTTATTTGGTGGTGGGTGGTGGTCACCTTAGTGGGCCGCCCGTACCAGCCGCGATTAAATTATTTATTCACAAAAAATGTACTTTTTAAGCTTCGCATGGTATTGAACTATTAACCTTTAGGTTGCGACAAAAAGAAATGCTACGGTTGTCAAACGCCTACCTAGTTGGGCAATAATGCAAAGTTGAAGAATTTAATAATATAACATTGAACGAGAAATTAAGCACCTCATGAAATGATTAAAAGTTAGAATTACATACATTAAAAATGTGGCGTTTAGTTGAGCCTTACTTAACCAGTTTTGTATTGATTTCCGTTCAATGATACGGCAAAATCTTCTGTTTGAAAATTATTTCTGTTTCAGTTTAATTAATTTTTTTTAAAATGCTTAAAGAACCGATAAAAAATGTTGAAATGAAGGATGTGGAGAAGAAGGAGGAAGTCGTTGAAGAAGTTAAAAAGGATGCCGATACATTAGTCTTGGAAGGTATCCAGACCATCATCCACCATCCATTTTCATTCTTAGATTTTTTAACATTAAATCTCAACTCGGAGTAAATTAGCAGCGAACTTTTTTGAGCTTAAAACTAATTTTTAATTAATACGAAAATCTTATTTGCCATCAGTTATCTAGCAAAACAACGCCCATGTTCTATTGATTGATATTGAATTGATTATCTAATACTCTTCCTATACTTGAAATTAATTTAATTTTAATTAAACATAAAATTCTAACTAACCCATTGTAAATTAAACTTTTCAGATCTCAAGCAATACATAAAACACATTGAAAAGGCAGTCATTACCAAAGAGCCTAGATTCATGTCAAGGACATTAAGGGCCCTTGTGAACCTTCGAAAAAGATTGAACAACAATGTATTACACAGAGCCATTGTTGGCTACTTCCTGATCACTAACAATTCTACTCACCCACTCCTAGAATACATTGATGAGGTTGTGATGTTAAAATTTAATTTAATAATTTCATTTAATTAGTAGTAGTGTGGTACGTCTTACCTCGGGAAACTGAGTCTCTGGATGCTAAACAAAGATTGATTGATAGTAGTAGTGTGGTAGTAATTTGTTTTAGTAATTCTTCTAGTTACTGTGTAAAGTCTGGCATAATAAATAAAATATATTTTGCTATAAAGTAAATACAATATATGATGATAATTTATCATATGGTATTTGCATATTTAAGAGCACTTTGAAAGTATTTTAATCTAAAAACTGTTATCATCACATAGATGGTTAATTTTCAAACAATTTGCAATATTTTATTTGTCAATTTATAATAATTATTATATAATTTGTTTATTTGTATTAATCATGCCCAATTTAATTTATAAATCTCTTTTAATTTCTTTATTTCTACTTACAAAGCCAATGGAGACGCAAGAAAAGGGCCCTACCTTCAGGCCGAGGGTGGGGAAGCAGGCTTCGACTCCTTTGCTTGTTGAGATCGACATCTACCTTCACCTCCTTGTTCTCATATATCTACTGGATCAGAATAAATTGAATCACGTTAGCTGGCTGATTTCCTACTTGTATGTAGCATTATATCTTTCTTACAGTAGTAGTATCTGTATTTAAATGTCAGACTTTCTATTTATAGCTTTAAGGTTTTTTTTAAAAATAGTTTCAACATTTTCTATAAATAGCATCAAAAATTTGATAAGTCTATTTATAGCTTCAATTGTACCGTCCAGGCATTGCAGTGTGCAGACCAGCTGATGGATAAGATAGCCTTGCAAAACAGGAGGACCCTGGACATGCTGGCCGCCAGGTGCTACTTCTACTTTGCTAGGGCCTACGAACTCACTAATCAGTTTGACAGGATTAGAAGGTAGGTGGTTGTCATGTCGGTGGGCTCTTCTCAGAGATTACCAGTTATTTTTTTATGTTTGCTCATAGTAGAAATATTTAATTAATTTTTTCCATTTGATGCCACAAGTCATTCCCTAACATGCAAACAGCACCCTGCACGCTCGACTCTGCACGTGCACCCTGAAATCTGACCACGAGGGCCAGGCAACCCTCCTCAACCTCCTCCTCAGAAATTATCTACACTACAATTTGTATGACCAGGCCGCTAAACTCATCGCTAAGGCCACATTTCCTGAAAGTTCTTCTAATAATGAATGGGCCAGATATTTGTATTATACTGGTTAGGTTTGTGTGTGTGGTGTATGGGTGTGTGTGTGTGTGCTTAGGCCTGTGTGTAGGTGTTTGTCTGTGTTTTCTTTGTCTAATTATCTTTTTATGGATCTAAATTTTCTGAGTTTAATTATTTTTATTTTGAAGATTTAAAATGTCTTCACAATATTTTATGCTTTGTAAGTATTATTAGTTCTAATTGACTGAAACCAAGTTGAAATATTAAAAAGGATTGGTTAAGTTGCTTGAATTATATGCGTGCTTATTTAATTATAATAATTTTAATTTTTATGTAATTAGGTCGCGTGAAAGCCATTCAATTAGAGTACTCTTCAGCTCATACTGATCTAATGCAGGCTCTGAGGAAGGCACCTCAGCACACTGCTGTTGGATTCAAACAAATTGTATGTTTGGCCCTTGTTTGTGTCTCTCTCTCTCGCTCGCTCTCTCTCTCTCTTTCCTCCATTTTTCTATCTTTCTTTATTTCTCTTCTCTATAGTTTTTGAAATAATTAAAAACTTTCTCTTTCTTTCTCTTCTTCCTCCCTCTTTCTTTCAACTTCCCTTTCTTGTTTTATTTTTACTTTTATATTTTTTATCATTTTTATTCAACAGGTTCAGAAGTTTGCAATAACAGTTGAACTGCTGCTTGGGGACATTCCTGACAAGTCGACCTTCAGGCAAGCATCTCTCAGGAAGACCTTGCAGCCATATTTTCAACTCACTCAGGGTTGGGACTTTGTGATTTTGTCAGGTTGATTGATTGAGAGCGAGAGAGAGAGAGAGAAGAAAAAAGAGAGAGTATTTATCTTTACTATTATTGTTTCTGCTTATTGTTATTTTGATATATTACTATTTCAGCTGTTCGCACCGGAAACCTGGCAAGATTTAATCAAGTCTTGGAGAAATTTAAAGGAAAATTTGAGTTGGAAGGTACTTATTCTCTAATCGTTCGACTCCGACACAATGTCATCAAAACAGGAGTTAGGATAATTAGTCAGTCGTACTCTCGCATCTCTCTACTCGACATAGCTAGGAAATTGCAGTTAGGCAGTCCAGAGGATGCAGAGTTTATTGTAGCTAAGGTTCGTTGGATGTGATGTAGTGGCATAGAGATTTATGATTTTGTTTTTTTGGTTCTTCTACTTTTATTTTTACTTTGGTTACTTTTACTACTAATATTATTATTGTTGTTTACCTTCTAAAAAAAGATTGAAATACTAACCATTATTAGGCAATAAGAGATGGGGTGATTGAGGCCACCATCGACCATGAGAAAAAGTATGTGCAGTCGAAGGAGAACCCAGATATCTACAGCACCAAAGAACCCATGACGGCTTTCCACCAAAGAATAACTTTCTGTTTAAACCTTCACAATCAGTCTATCAAGGCCATGAGGTTCCCACCTAAGTCCTACAATAAGGATTTAGAATCTGCTGAAGTTTGATTTTTTTTTGTTGTTTTCTCCATTTCGTTTAATATTAACGTTATTAATAATTATTGTTATTAAAATTGTGACAATTAAATCTTAAATTAATCAATGCCCTAGTGGTCAGTTCATGTTCAGATTAGTTCATTTTATATCACCATTGTACTTTATATAACAGTAAAATTTGATACCATGTTTTTTCTTTCATATTTTCTCAAATTTAAGAAAAAAGTTGAATTATAGCAATTGAAAAATAATTAAAAATATGAATAAATAAAAGTTTTAAAAAGTAAAATAATATAATTAAATAATTTTGAAAAATTAATAATTTCTTCTTAGGAGAGAAGGGAGAGAGAGCAGCAAGAGTTGGAGAGTGCTAAGGAGATAGCAGAGGAGGATTTTGATGATTTCTAAGTTAGATGGATGCTGCGTCTTATCTATCTATCCATACACACACATTTATACACATGTGCACATCATTTACTCGACTTCTGATTGGATTCTATTGAATGGTTTCTTTATAAATAATAATAGATTGATACACACGCATATGCGGCATGAAATATTTTTACTTTGTTTTAATAATGAATTTATTGAAATCAACAATTGAAATTGATGGTAGTAATGATAAAGAATTTTCGGATCTGTTTAATAGCTATGACCGTTCAGTTTCATTTCTCAGAGGTTTGTTATGGATTGAAAACCTAATTGTTCATGCTTCGATTGTTTCTGAGTTTTGTCATTAAGTTAAATGCGTTAGTTTCTGCTGTAATTATAAATGGTTACAAACTAATTTATTGAAGAAAATTGAAATCCGGTGAGTCGTATTATCTGTGTGTGTCTAGAGAAATATGTCTTTAAATGCGTATATGTAGAAGAATGCTTGGTAAAAATGTGAATTAAGAAAGTTACTTTTAAAAGCATTACTTGTTCTGGAAGCTATGGCTGTGAAAATGTACAAATAAATTAATTTTCATCAATAGGTATTGCACGGAACCATAAAGCGTTTAAAAAACGTCACGGAACATGTCTAACTAATCTCGCTCTTCATAGCCTAGCTGCAATACAACAGCTGTGCGAAAGGTTTAGTTCAGTTGTGCAATTAAAATTAAATTAACCAACGAATTTTGAGATCGCATCATAAGTGTCGTTGTTTAAAATAAATTTTCTCTTCTTTATTATTCTTGAAATCATTTTTCGAAACATTATTTTATTTTGCCGTTATGGAAACCGTAGAGGACAATAACGATGTTGAAAGTAAGATAATTTTCGTCGAAAATGATAAAAGAATTTCAACAAACGGACAACAAAAACAACAGTTGCCTTCAGTGACATTTGCGGATGACACCAACGATTCAAATGTCAGTCTTCAGAAACCAGGTGGCGGCCGCAAGCGTAAGAACTTCAAGAGATCCCAACATCACTGCGTCCCTAGGGAACGTCGAAGAAGTTTGCCAGGACTGCGAACGAGAAGGCGACAGGAAAATCTTCAGTTTCTTCTCTCTCAAATCGACGGAATTGATTTTGATGAATCTGATAGTGTTGATTTATGTGATCTTATCGATATACAACCCTCTGCTTTTACTGAACTCTTTCAAGAAGAAGAAAAAATGGCCGTCTGGAATAATTTCGTAAATTGGACAGAGGATGAACAGTTGGAGTTCCTCAAAGTGCCTGCGTTCGAGAAAAAGGACAAAAATAATTTAGGCGGCGAAGTTACAGACGACGGCTTCGTTAATCTTGGTACCAGTGCGGAAAAGGCTTTTGCCAGAATCAGCCAGAAACTTAGACACTTTCTCAACAGGAAGCAGATACCAAAAGGTGAGTTAGAGAAGATTGAAGTTGATCTGATTGATTATTTTCACGAGTGGCCGAATTCCGTTTACGTGACTTGTCTGCCTGATGGGTTCAAGAGGATGTTGCTTCATGCAGTCAGTCAATATTTGGACTTGGAAGCCAAAAGTTTTGACAACCTTGGAAATAGGAAAACTCAGGTTGAGGCAAAGAACAGTGTATTTATACCTCCTGAAACGACCCTTGTCAGTTATCTGGATACCATTAAATCATCTTAACGCTTGCCTAACTTATTGTATTTCAATGATTTGAATTAAATTTGTACACAATGATTTGAATTAAATTTGTACACAATGATTGATTAAAATTTGATTACTATGTTTTTATTAAAATTTTCATGTACACAAGCAAAACGCCAATAGGATATTGACTATTAATATTACAGTGTTATAATTTTTTTTTTCAATTTTTTAGTTGGTTTTACAAAATAATTATCACAGTAAAAGAGTGAAATGTCTTTACGTGAATTTACATAATAAAAGTCAAAATTTTTCTCAGAGCGCGCCTTGCGATATGACACGATTCTAAATTGCGACTGGATACTCAAATACCAGTCTGCGCGAACGTGATCAATTGCGGCAGTGTTTCTTACGAGATTTTGTCTTACTGACACACCTTTTCACGCTTTTTCGTCGTGTCGATCTGCTCCGGCTTCTCTCTCGACATTTCGTGGACCTTTTACGATTCCCTTTGCTTTGGGTGGATTTACCACTACCGCGTTGACTATTACCGTCACAACTCTGCTCATTGCCCATGATTTATCGTTACTGTACTACTGTATTAAGTAAGATGTTATAGTTTTAAGTAGTAGTGTAGAATATTTGTCAATGTACTGTCGGTGTCTTCCTGGCTGAAGTAGATTGAAGTTGTTCGTCCTTATTCCTCTGCTGATGACTTAATCTAAGGATGTTAAATTTAAATATTAGTTGCTAATTCTTTATCTTTTTTGTTAAATTTAAATATTAGTTGCTCAATTCTTTATTTTCTTTGAAGTTTTTAGAAAAAATAACCTTTGTAATGATGGTTTATGGTTAATAAGTGTTTAAAGTTTACAGAAAAATATGACGTAGATGTTTATTTCTTTCAATTATAACGTTTTAGAACTCAAAGCCACAAAATTGAATAAAGTTTGGTTTTTAATTTCAAAACAGGATATCTTTCTCATTTTTTATAAACATTCTTCTTCTAAATAATTCATTCCACTCATATAAACAATATAATTCACATGACACATCATTTAATTGCAAGGCTATCATTGAAATTAATCCTTGTATATGGTTTTATTACCTTTCATTCTATTACGTATTCATAGCAGCAGTGTGTACGCACAATACAAAAAGGTTCACTTTTAGTTTAAAAACAAAAACGTACGATCTTTTCCGAACGTGTTTTAAAATAATCGTACGTTTTTTTGTAATTAGGCTGAATAAATTAAAATCAGGAGGCCCCAATTGTTATGTTTTCCACTTTTGCACAGATTCCAATCAGAAAAAATGAATGACAAAAAAGTAGCGTTGATTACCGGTGCCAACGCGTTCGTAGACCTTTTTTTAATTTAATGCTTTCTCCATTTTTTTAATTTTTCGCAAGCTTTTTTACTATATTTTTTCACAATTTTACATTTATTTGTCTTATAAATTTAAAAAATTTTGTTTAAATACGCGCAAACACTGAAACAGTGGCGTAGGATTTAGTTTGGTAAAAAATTTGCTGGCAAATACTGACTTCCGCGTTTGTTTGATCTGTCGAAACAAGAAGAAAGCATTCGCGGCTCAGAGGGAGCTACTGAAAACATTCCCCAGCCGATCCGTCGAACTATTTTTTGCTGACATGTCCAACCCTCAATCTGTTATTCGTGCTGCTCAAGAAGTAAAATTAAAGTCATTATTTTTTTGTCATTTTTTTGTTATAAAACTGAATAAACATCATAATACACATTTGAATTATTAATATATAAACTACTACTACTACTACTACTACTACTACTACTGCTACTGCTACTGCTACTGCTACTGCTACTGCTACTGCTACTGCTACTACTACTACTACTACTACTACTACTACTGCTACTATAAGCAATATTAATAAATAAAACAATACGTTTGAATTAATATATATATATATTACCAACCTTTACTTGTATATATATATATATATATATATATTACCAACATTTACATGAACACACACACATATATATATATATATATATATATATATATATATATATATGAATGAAAACAAACTACTACTACTAATACTGGTACTACTACTGCTGAATAAAACAATACTATTTTACTGCATTACTACAGACACAGCCATATAGATTACCTATTTTTCAATGCTGGTGTGATGCCAAACACGTTTGTTGACTGGAATTATTTTGTGAGGAATGTTTTTTCAAGGTTTCATAAAAATTGACTTTTTGAATTTATAACATTTTCATTCATTAATCATTCACTCATTTATTTATTTATTTTTTCATTCATTTAATTATTCATTCATTCGTTCATTCTTTCTCTACTCATTCAATCATTAATTCATGCAGTCATTTCTTTATTCACACTTTATCATGTATCTTTTCTTTCATTAATTGATTGTGTTTATTCATTCTTCTATTCATTCATTCACTCATTCCTTCTTATACTCATTCATTCATATATTCATTCATATATTCATTCATATATTCATTCATTCATTCATTAATTCGCTCATTCATTCGCTCATTCATTCATTCACTCATTTATTTATTCATTCATCCATTCAGAAATTGCTTTGAAATGATTAGAACTGGACACAATCTGATTAAGCAATATGACGTTGAAAATGATGAAACTGGCCTTTGTAACATATTCTCCACCAATGTGTTTGGACATATTTTATTGGTATGATAGTGATTTTCATAATAATAATAATTAGTAATAATAATAATTAATAATAATAGCAGTGATGATGTAAATATTTATTATAAGTAATGGGTTAATTTGTTTCCTCATAGGGGAGCATAGGTCGATGATAGACTATATATTGGTAAGGGTCAAAGATAGGAAGTATGTGAAGAATGTGAAGGCGATACCTGGTATGCTGCAGCATAGTATGGTTGTGATGGATGTGACATCAAAAGAAATGGGGAGGAGGAAGAAGGATAAGTTTGTGGCAAAGAGAAAGACATGGAAGTTGCAGGATGCAGAGGTGAGGAAGGCATTTGAAGTGAAGGTGGCTGAAAATTTGGAGAGTGGTAAGGATGGAGATGTTTGGGAGAGATACAGGGACTGTGTGTTGGCTACGGCAGATAAAGTATGTGGATGGACGAAAGGAAAGTGTAGGCATGGTGAGACGTGGTGGTGGGATGAAGATATAAGAAGGGTTTTGGACAAAACACATGTACAATCTTCGTTTCTTCTTTCTATAATTCTCCTGCAACATTCTCACCATGAACAACGCATCCACCGTTCCCCTACCAGGCATAAACACACACTGCATTTCATTAACTGTCACCATATTTCTCAACCTCCTCTCAAGCACCCTCTCCACTACCTTCATTCCGTGCTCTAGCAATTTCACACCCCTATATGACCCACAATCTCTCACATCTCCTTTGCCCTTATACAACGGCACCAACACACTGTGTCGCCAATCCTCAGGTATACCTTCATCATCAAACATACTGTTAGCAATTCTCATCATAACTTCAATTCCTATCACCCCACTCGCTTTTATATGTTCTGCCGCCACTTCCGAAACCCCTGTCGTCTTACCTAGTTTCATTTCTCTAACTGCTTTCTCTACTTCCTCCATCGTCACCTTCTCTATAGGTCCGTGTGTGACCGCGGATTCCACATCTCCATCCCACTCATTCTCTTCATTCATCAACCTTTCCATATGAGCTTTCCACACCTGAGCTTTTTCCTCCTCATCTATGCACAACTTGCCAGATCCATCCCAAACACATCCATTCCCTATAACATCTTTCCTATCCCTCATTGACTGCTTTGCTACTTTGAACATTTTCCTCGAACTCACATCAAATTCCATTTCCTTCATTAACCTATCTGATGCGTTCGTCATTGCAGTTGCCACTGCCTGTTTTGCAACCTTCTTAGCCTTCCTATACTCAGACTCCGCTTCCTCCGTCATGTCCCTTCTCCATACCCTAAACCTCTCCTTCTTGACCTGGATCTAGAAAAGGCTTTTGATCGAGTACCGAGGAAGGTCATTGAATGGGCGTTGAGGAAGAAAGGAGTGAATGAGAGACTTGTTAAAGCTGTGATGCAGCTGTATGAAGGGGCAAAGACAAAGGTGAGGGTTGGAAGGGGGATGTCGGACGCTTTTAGTGTTAAGGTAGGAGTGCATCAAGGATCAGTGTTATCACCGTTTCTGTTTGCAATTGTGATGGATGTTGTGTGTGGAAACATAATGGAGGGGTTGTTATTTGAGATTTTGTATGCAGATGATTTAGTCTTGATGGCTGATAGCATGGAAGAATTGCAGTTAAAATTTGACAGATAGAAAAGTGTTATTGAAAAGAAAGGGTTAAAAGTTAATATTGGTAAGATGAAGGTAATGGTGAGTGGGGAAGGTGGGGAGCGAGTGATAAGTAAAATAGACCCCTGTGGGGTATGTGACAGGAGAGTGAAGGCTAACTCAGTATTGTGTATAGGATGTCAGAAATGGGTGCATAAGAGATGTAGTGGTGTGAGGGGGGCACTGAAAAAGGTGGAAGGCACGTTCAAATGTAAGAAATGTGTTCATGGTGTGATATTAATAGGACGGACGCAAGGACGGGGTTGAGTGGTGGTATTGAAAGAGTGGAAAGCTTTGTTTACTTAGGGGATAAGCTGAACGCGGATGGAGGATGTTTGAGCGCAGTTACGGCTAGAGTTCGTGTAGGATGGATGAAATTTAGGGAACTGGGTGGGGTATTGTGTGAAAAGAAATGGTCAGTGAAGATGAAAGGGAGGGTATATAAAGCATGTGTGAGAGCAGCGATGGTATATGGTGGTGAAACTTGGGTGTTGAGGAGAGAGGAGGAAAGTGTACTGCAGAAGGCTGGAAGAGCTATGGTGAGGATGATGTGTGGGGTTAAAGTGAAGGATAGGAGGAGTAGTACAGAGCTGATGTCAATGATGGAACTGAATGAGGACATTGTGACATTGATAAGGAGATCGAGATTGCGGTGGTATGGACATGTGTTGAGAAGGGATGAAAGGGTCGGGATTAGGCGAGCGTTGGAGTTCGAGGTTGAAGGAGTGGTAGGAAGGGGTCGTCCGCGATTGGGATGGAGAGAGCAGGTGGAGAAGGACAGGGTGAAAGCGGGGTTGCGTGATACTGAGGCGAGTGACAGATGTGGATGGCGTCGAGGGGTATTTCGGTTTCATCACAGGTAGCCAAACGGCAACCCCCGATCTCGGGGAAAATGTCGTCTAAACGTGTGTTGTTGTTGTTGTTAATTTGTTTCCTCAGTTCAAAGAATTGCTTAGCGTATTGGGACGCCACAAAGAACAAGATGATAATAATAATAATAATAATAGAAATAATAATAATAATAAAACGACTCATGTTATATGGACATCTTCAAGCAATGCTAAGAGATCTGCCTTCAATCTTGATAACATTCAACACAAAAATGGGTTATCTATTTATGGATTAATTATTAATTTAATTATGAATAATTATGATAAATAATAACTTTAGCTATGGAATAATTTCTCTCTCTCCCTCTCACTCTTTCTCTCATTTAATTAGTCATTCTTTGCAGTGATGAACCTTATAGTTCTTCAAAGTATACGATGGATCTTCTGAGTTACCAGATGAATAAGAATTACAATAAATCCGTTAGTAATTCACCATTAGTAATGTTCACAAATCACCCATAACAATTATCATAATTTATTCATCGTAATTATCATAATTTATCGTCATAATTCTTCATAGCCCATTCATCACAATTATTCATAATAATATTTTTCATAGGGCATCTACTCTCACACTACCTGCCCAGGTTTGGTGATAACGAACCTCTTGTACGGCATCATTGGCTCCTGGTTCTGGTTCATATTATTGCCAATTCTATCTCTAGTAAGTAAGATGGTCATTTATTTAATTATTCATTTCATTTTTTTGTTTTTTTTTTCTCATTCATTTGTTCTTACTATTATATTTTACTACAACTATTGATACAACTACTGCTGCCGCTACTTCTACTATAACTATCACTACTATTACTACTACTGTTACTACAACAATTACTACTACTACCACAACAACAACTACTACTACTGCTACCACTACTACTACAGCTTCTCCAACTACTTATCATCACTTAGTATTACAGCGTTTGACGGAGCTGCATCTTAAAGTATGAAAAAATAATAATTTTTTTTTTTCAGTTTAGGATTTTTGTCTCGAGTCTTACACTGAAGCCCGATATTGCTTGCTATTCATTGGTTGGCTATTTAAATGGTTGACAAATCATTTATCAATAACCTTATTATTAATTAATAATTTTATTATTATTTTATTATTTTGGTATTTTTTATCATAATAATAAGTTATAATAACGATTATTTATAATTTTTCGCTATTACTACTATAACCACAAACACAAACCTCTATTTATGAGTTTATTTTAATTCGTTCATTCATTCATTCACTCATTCATTCATCTCTCATTCATTCATTCATCCACTAATTCATTCATCCATTCACTCAGTTTTGGCTTACAAAACAAGAACCACGATGTTTGGACCCCATGAGTAAGTATTACAGTAGGTGCAGTATCTCTGGCAGGCCGTACGTTGAAGTTATTAAGGCTGGTAACTCTAGCAATACTGCAAATAATAATAATAAATAGCAATAATAATACAAATAATAACTATTATTATTAATACGATTATACATTTCCAGATGGATATAGATGAGAACCTTGCATACGAGGCCACCGTTAGAATCAAAAAGATGATGGAACAGTACAAAATTCTCGGCAGAGTCGCGGATGAGAGTAATAATAATTAGAATAACAATAAAAATAATAAAAACAACTGAAAAATAACAATAATAATAATAACACTGGGTAATGGTTAGAGGCGCCCGGTTCTGCTGTTGTGGTGACTGGTTTCGAATGCGTATGATGCGTGGACTTTGTCGTTGACACCTCTGAACCGAGTGCACAGAAGAAAGTAACCTTTAACCTTTCAACTAAAAAAATATGTGGGAAACTTTTAGTATATATATATATATATACATATAGTTACGTTTATAACCCTGTATTGTATTCATTAAAAAATAATTTATAACAGTACTTCACGTATATTGTTAAAGTACTAACCGTCATCTTCATGCTGTGACCTTTAAATATATATTTTCATTTAATGTGTACTCACATACTAATGCAACATATCTATACTTTTAACACTTGTTTGCTGTAACATTTTAACATTCAATTGTGATATACATTCGTTCAACTATGCTATAGATATTTCAGTAACCATTTACACTGCTGTCGTAAACATTGCGCTTTCGACTATTTTAATATATTAAGAATAATTAAATTAAATTGTCTTCGATTAGTAATAATAAAACATTTTATTACTAAGAAATAAACGATGATGAAATAAACACGCATACACGTACATGGGTATAAAGTTAAATTAGGTTGTCAAGAACGAAAATATATAAATACATACGAGCTAATCCTTTCCGTATTAGAAACCCATCATTCTCGCTATAGCCACCTCAGAACATTTTAATCAATGAAAAATAGAAACAAATGACTGAACAAGATGTTCGTTTATAAAAATGTAAAATTTACATTTTTTTGTTATAATTAACCGCAAACGAAAATTAATAACAGCCAATCAACTAGTTTTATTATTTATTTATTCATTTGTCTATTTATAAACATTCAGCCAAACATATTAATGAACATATTATTTTAAATATTTTCATTCATTAACATTCAACCTTCCCTCCACACTGCCTAATCTCAAGCAAGCATCTAATCACTCAGCATCACCACGAAGAACCGATCAACTAGTTAATTAATTATTAATTTATTCATTCATTAATATTCAGTAGCCTCGCCCTTGGCACTGCCTAGTAATCATCTAGCTCTCCGGCGTTGCAAGCATCACCGTAAGATTTGCCCTTGGGTTGTTCGGGGGCCAGCTTAATCATATCATCAATTCTCAAAATGGTTATGGCAGCTTCTGTGGCAAATTTCAAACTTTTGATCTTGGAGATCGTTGGTTCAAAAACACCTGCTTCCTTGTTGTCACGAACCTTTCCTTCTATCAGATCGAGACCAATCCTGAAATTTTTAATGAAATTTATGTACGTTTTTGGAATGTATAATAAAAAACAAACCATTGGAATGGGACAAAAAAAATCGAAGATATTGAAAAAAAGAAAAGACAGATACCATCTTAATTCTTTATGCTCAGGTTTAGTCTGAGAAGAGTTATGGAAAGCTCTCAGTTTGGCCACCAGATCGGTTGAATCGAGAGCTGCATTGACTGCCAACTGCTTAGGAATCACCAACAAACTATTTGCAAACTCTGCAATGGCCAACTGTTCCCTGGAACTCTGAAAAACAAAATTTAACATTAGATAAACGGCTTGACTATCACACAGTACACCAACGACTCAACTACGACACACACTACAAAAGAATCTTCACAACACCATAAAAACGAACAAGAGATGAAGCGAAATTCTCGAGATAGATGGAGACAGCAGCCTCCACAGCTCCACCACCGGGGACGACGGATTTTGACTCGAGGACACGCTTGATAACGCAGAGGGCATCATGAAGAGATCTTTCCATTTCATCTAGCAGAAAATCATTTGCTCCTCTCAAGATGATGCTGGCTGATGTGTGAGCCTTGGGTCTGTATGTGTGTGTGTAAATTATTGTCTGCAACAACACCGAAACATAAACAACAGCAACAAACCAACCCCTTAATAAGAATCAATTCATCGTCAGACACCCTCTCTTGAATGACCTCATCAGCCTGTCCCATCATGCTGGCATCATAGCTTTCCTCACCCTCCATGTTTGCAAGAGTCGATATCAACTGCCCTGATCGAGTTTGATGAGGAGTTAATTGTAGAGGGATTTAGAAATTAAAGTTTAACTCTGAAGAAATTAGTCATTCAAGTAGCAGCCATCCACAAACCTCCAGTAGCCTTAGCAATCCTCTTCAGATCAACTTTCTTACACCTCCTAACAGCCATAGCCCCAGCGTCGACGAAATATTTGGTGCAGAGGTCGTCAATGCCCCCGGTTGTTAAGACCACATTCACGCCCGTGGACAGAATCTTCTGGACTCTCTCCTTCGTTATGTCACTTTCTCTGGTTGGGGTGAGTGTTGATTTATTTGCATTTGTTGCCATTGAAATAACTAAATAGACATGTAAGATGCATATATGTACATAGAAGAAGCAGACCAAAGACAAACAATACAACCAACAACAACAACTAATACCACTAGCACCTCTGCCTGATTGCCTCCAGCTTAGAAGGATCGTTGACAAGCACTTGCACTCCTAACTTCATCTTGGCCTTCTGAAGACTGAAGTCCAACAGAGCTATCTTGGCATTCGTGATTCTCTTTGGCATGGCTGTCGATGAAAATCGGACAATCAGAGTTAATTACGGAAAGAGAGAGAGAGAGAGAGAGAGAGAGAGAGAGAGAGAGAGAGAGAGAGAGAGAGAGAAACAAAGAAACGTTACAATGAGAAATAAATATGTAATAAGACAATACAAACACTGGAATATTTACATAAAACTCAAACAGACAAACAAACAAAGCCAACAACGCTGACAAACACAAAAACAAACACACCTTGAGCAGCAACAGTACAATTAAGAGCATATCCATTAACTAGGACACTTTCAACAGCTCTCATGCCATGGGCTTTCAGGACATTTATTGCCTTGATGGGGTACTTGAAACCTCCTTTCCCGTCACTAACTTTCACAGCATGGGCTGCATCTACTGCCAGATTAGCAAAAAATTCATCATCTCTGTGATTAAAAACCAAACAAGGAAGTCGATGAAGAAGAGGATGAGATGGTGATAAAGAAATAGAGGTTAAAGAAAGCAAAGAAAGCATTGTATTCATAATAAATTTAACATTAGTCATCTTTTCCATTACTAAAATGTAACAAAATAATATTTATTCCAAAACAAAAGGATACGACCCAATGACTTTGCTGGACATGCTGGTCTTGGCAGCATTGATGATGCTCTGCTTGCCAAGTTCATCAGTTGATATGGTCAAGTTATCTTGTATGTACTTGCAAGCTTCTCTGTTGTTAGGTGTTGTTTGATTGGTCAGTTGGCAGACGAAATATTGGTTTGTAATGTAATGTGGTTGGTCAGTTGGGTTTGGTCCTTTGTTGGGATTGGTCGGTTGGATCGTGATTAGCTTGATGATTGGTCATTTCATAGTATGCTAACAGTAAGAAAAAAAACATAACAACACCAAAACTAAATATCACACACTTGCAGGCCAGCCTGTAGCCACTAATTATGGAGGTTGGATGGATCTTATACTTAACCAATTCATCTGCATTTTTTAACAGTTCTGCAGCTATGATTACCTAAAAAAAATCAAATTTAAAGTTTTAGAATCATAATGAAAAGACATAAAATTATGAAAATGTAATTGCAATTTCTAAAACTTACAACAGATGTTGTGCCATCACCAACTTCTTCATCTTGCAATTGAGCAAGTTCGACAAGAACCTTTGCAGCTGGGTGTTCAACTTCCAACAACTTAAGAATGGTGGCTCCATCATTAGTGATGGTTACATCCTAATAGGAAGAATTCATTGTTTTAAATGAATGAGTAAAAATCTTATTTAAAACCATTTATTATATTTTTTGTATTATCAAGTTGTTATTTATATCATTGATGTTTGTTTCCTGTTTTTCAGATTTGAAAGATCAGAGATAAAATAAACTACATTTGGGTGAAAAAAAAATGAAAAATAGGATCAAATGTTATAATGTACCCACCCCAACATCGTCAACCAGCATCTTATCCAGGCCCACCGGACCCAAACTGGTTTTCACAATGTTGGCAATCGAACAAGCTGCCATTACTGCAAAAAATCGTTTAAAATTTTTTCAATATAACGATTTAAATATTATTTGCCTAATTGTTAATTTAATATAAACATGAATTTAGTACAAGTTTTCATATAGAATGAAAAATGTGACAAAGCGTGAGCGATAAAAGGAATACACTAATAATGCTAATCATTCCAGCACCGTGCAGTTCATGATCGTGGATTTTTACTAATCAAATGATCAAATTAAATTACCATTTTGTGTTCGGACGGATTGGCCGGTGGTTCTGTCCCCAGCCACACATAAAGCGCTCATCGTTGAAGTCATTTTGAGAACTTTCGATGAAAATCCAAGCGAATTATTATACACAGATAAAAAAGCAAAGAAAGATTTATCAGTGTAATGGTTTTTTTTTTTAAGTACTGGCATAACAATAAATACATACGCACATATTGAAATAAACTTGTTAATTTTGTTAAAACGTAAATATTTATCATTAATATTCCTCCAAAATATCATAATCTCATTCGTGTACAAATAGCTTACACATCAGCTAGCAATTACAGTCAGTAGGAGTCTTTCATGGAATTTCAGATCAGGGATTGGATTGAAGTGCTAGAAGTTGATGATTATTCACGTGCTGTGAACTGAAAAGAATAGGCTTAAAAATTTTATTTGAAATGATGTGGAAATGTTCTGTATGAGAGCTCAAACACGGACACACACAAACAAACACACACACATACATACATACACACACATGCACACACACATATAGTATGATCGAAAATGTTCCGATCAATCAATTTCCCCTACATATCTTCGACCTTTTGTCGTTGTTGTCATGGACTCACAAACAAACAATGATGTACGTGTATATGTAAGTATGTATGTGTATAAGTGTGTGTATGTATGTACGTTTATGCGTGTGTATGTGTGTATGTGAACTTTATTGTTTTCTGTCTGTCTGAATATGCATAAGCATTGTTAAGAATCGCCTATTATATTTTTCCACAAAATTTTTGTGACTTTAATTAAGAATACAAAGCACTATTGTATTTAAATAACAAAAGTAGTTCCAGTTTCTGCTAAAACCATCTAACAAATATGGATTTCAACGTTAAAGAAATGTTGGACGATGGAGGTTATACAGGAATGAATGAGAAATTTAATACTGCCACTACTTCAGCTGGTACTGAAGAAGATATCAGATTACCAATGCTACTACATATTGCTTTATCATTAATACCACCACCACTACTACAAATACTACTTATAATACTAATGCTACTTTTTTATTATTATTACTTTAACTAATGGTATTCTTTTTTATTATCGTACAGATGAAATTAAGGTGAACTTGCAAAAGCTTAAGGACATCATCATGGACGATTTGATAGGGTTGAATCGGGAATTAAATGAACAACAGAAAAGTTTTCAAGGGTCGAAAGTAAATAACAAAAAATATTAATTATTTTATTTGTTAATCTTTTATTTATTCATCGAATCATTCGTTCGTTCGTTCGTTCATCCATTCATTCGTTCACACATTCACTCACATATTCATTCACTTCTTTTCATTTATAATTTTTTAATTTATGTATAATTCACTCATTCATCTGTCTGTTATAATGTTAAGAAGAGAAAAATATTTAGAATACAATAAAAAAATTTTAAAATAATTTCTCGGCAGTTGAAATCGCAATTCAATTTGATAGACCATCACCTCTTCCATGAACAAACGCCATACAGGTTGGTAGGATGGCAATGCCAGTATGCACGCTGGGACGTAGCCAAACAATGTGGGGGTAGCTAAGCCCTCTTCCCTACCCTACTCTTCTGAAACGGGAAGAGAGCTTTACTTCTGATCAATTTTTATGCTAAAATTCTGTTAAATTTGGAAATAAAACATTGGGGTAATTTCATTTTCGAAAATTCCATAGTTACGAAATGCTGTAGAAGCTTCACCAATGTTTGACCAAAGCCATGTTTGATAAATTTAGAAAAAAATGTTGATTTAAAAGTGGAAATTGCTAGAAAAAATACTGAATAAGAAAAGAAAGTTGCTGCAAACTATTTTATAATATATTATAATTATTATCATTATTTCTTATATATTCATTTTTATGTAAAACAACCTAAGCTCAACTCCTCAGAACATTTTTATCTGCGTCTCAGCCAGTGCGAATATTGTCACAATTATAATCCATTCAACGCATCTCTTCATTCATTCGTTCGTTCGTTCGTTCATTAGTTCATTCGTTCATTCATTCATTCATTCATTCATTCATTCATTCATTCATTCATTCATTCATTCATTCATTCATTCATTCACTCACTCACTCATTCAGAAACAGTTTCTTAATCATATACGACGGAGTTATGGGCCTCGAAAAAAACATAACTGAGATCAAGATGATTGTGAAATTGCAACATTTGAGTTTAAAAAATAGTAATAATAATGACAAAAAGAACAATGATGACGACGACGATGACGATGTTGGATATGATGATGAAGATGATGACGATTTTACTGGGCCCCCGTCTATTTTTATCTCAAATGACGTCGTCAAGATCAGTTCTAAAAATAGATTTGCTCGATTTAATCTTAGGCAGCCGGTCAATAAGTGAGTATGTGTGTGTGCGTGTGTTTGTGTGTGTGTATTTGTGTGGATGTGTGCTGTCTGTGGGTGTGTGCTTTCTGTTTGAATGAATCAATCAATGAATCAATAAGTAAAATCTATCAATCAATTAATCAATCATTCATTCAATCAATCAATCATTCAATCCCTGACCACATAAGGCTGATTACATTACTGTACGTCACAGTAATAAACGTTTAAAATGAAATAAACTTCCACAATATCGTTGGAAAATGTAATCAATCATGCATGCCCACACTAACAGATGTCACATACCGTTCATGATCATAAATAATAATAATTAACTTTTTAAAATTTAGTTGCAAACCGAACAGAAATTTGTTCTTAGTGCTGGAGGTGATGGCAGGCCAGCATAACATAATGAACAATAGAGGTTTTCATCTATCTATCTACCTATCCATGGTTCCCTTTTACCATCATCAACCTCAACAGATTTATCACCATTATCAACATAATTATACAAATAATAATTATAAATACGATAATAAATAATATTAATTATTAACATAATTATCATCACGTTCTTGCTGCAAGGTTTCGCGGTCGTTAAACTATTTAGTAAAGAAGGAACTCTGATGTGCGGCAGATGGCTGGCTCCTCTGGTGGCCAATCAGAAGACAGCAGCCAAATATTACAATAATTATGTTAGTAATTATTTATTATGACGTCATAGCACCAGTGTATAAATTATTATAATTAAAGTGTACACGCATACACATTGCTTTTTTAACTGTTAATGAACGAACAATGTTAGTTTAAGTTTATTATTATTTCTCGAAATATTTTTTCAAATTTGAAATGAAGAATGCTGAGTTGGAAGCGTTCGTAAGAATTCTGCACCCTTCGCAGATGGAAGAAGAGGAAAAGTTGAACATGGAGCCGATTTCCATGTACAAATTTTATCGCCAACAGCCAAACATCATGTCAAATATCAATGAAACAATCAGTGATAATGACGACGACGACGAAGATGATGATGACGACGACGATGACGAAGATGATGAAGAAAAGTTTGTTTGGTATTTTAAATAAAGACAACTTTATTTATAATAAATCAAATAAATCAAATCTTAGAGTGGCATTAATGATAAAGATGAACAGTCTTTTTTAAGCTATCAGAGATGGATCGATTCCATGATTGAATACTTTCAGACTCGACTCCGGGTAAGAATATCCGACTCGACTCCAAACTTCGACTCCCAAATAAAATGTTCAAACTTATGTTCCATATATACCACTACTAAATGAAAGATATTTAAAAAATACTTAAAATTAGTCGGTATAATTGTTTTTCTCAGTTAAATCACATGGAATTTGGTTTAAACCACACTTTAAAATAGTTATGTGATTTCATACACATTGGCAGCATTTTTTTTCAAATGATTGCACATCGCTACAAACATATTTCTTCTGAAAGACACCGTCTTAAGCTAAATTTTTCGACTAAAAAAAAAATTTCAACTTTTATACAACTTCTGGCTCATCAAATCGTCAAAAATTTGCAACTCCCACACTATTTTTATTGTGACGTAATATAACATTGATAACAGTAACCTAATGTTAATAAATAATAATGATTATAATTATAATAATCATTAATTTTATTATAATTAATATTATCAAACTGTCCAGATTTGAAAGTTGGACGTTGGAAATATTTTTTGAAAACCTCGAAGAGTTCACCATAAGTCGGACTGTTCGACTGAAAACAGACCTCGTCCAAGTTAAAAACGAAAAAGTTGATTAGTTCATTATTTCTACTACCATTACCACTACTACTACTACTACTACTACTACTACCACCACCACCACCACTACTACTACTACTACTACTACCACAACTACTACTAATACTCCATTGTTACAACTACTACAACTACTAATACTACTACTATAATAATGATAATAATAATAATAATAATTATGACTTAATTTCAATACCTCATAATCCTAGATCTCGAACAAAGAGAGATTGCCCGTGAAACCGTCTTTAAAAGCGGTCCTCGATGCAAAGCAGAGGCCTAAGGTACACCCGATCAATGCAAATAGATCATTCATAATAAGAAGACGCAAAGCAGAAATAATAATAAACAATAATATGTATAATAATAATGACAATAATAATAATAATAATAATAATAATGAAAATAATAATAATAATAATGATAAAAGCATCAACTACATTAATGGACCGTGGGAGAATAATAGTCATAACATCGTATTTGAAAGTTCCACATCACGGCCTTCAAAAGAGAATGATATTCATAATAATAATAATAATAATAATAATAATAATAATAATAATAATAATACTAAAAAGAAGAAGAAGAAAAGGAAGTTTAAAGTCAAAAATTATTTCATAGTTTCTATAACGGAGATACCTGGTAAAATTATTATTCTTCAAAAAACCAAATCTACCTTCCAAAAAATTAAAGAAAAATTAATTCCTAAACTGGGGAACAGCAAAAACAACAACAACAACAACAACAACAACAATAATAATAATAATGACGGCGATGATGATAATGATGATGATGACGATGATGATAATGATGATGACTTGCGTCTGGTCGGCTGGTGCGTTTTAGCGTTGGATGGATTACAATCAAAAGAAGGTTCCTTCATTTGTTCATCCATTCACTCACTCATTCACTCATTCATTCACTCACTTATTTATTCTCTCATTCATTCACTCATTCATTCACCTATTTATTCACTCATTTATTCATTCATTTTTACAGAAATGAAACGTTTGCCAATTAAGAAACCGCCCATAAGCCATAATTTAATAATGAACGAAAAATCACAAGATGATAGTAACAGTGAATCCAAATCATTTCTAAATTTAAAGGTCTTAAGTTACGAAAATGCCAAAAGGTAAATGCCAAATTTGTAGCTGTTGCTAATTTATTCATGAATAAATTATGCTAATGTGCTCTCGGATAAGTTATGTTAATAAGCATGCTCTGTAATAATTTTTTTTCTCAAGGTCTTTGGAAGAATACCTCAACACGATACCGCCTGCGGTAAATTTGTGTGTATGCGCGCATGTGTGTGATATATTGGTGTGTTCGTTTTGCTATATAAAAATAATAAAATAATAATAATAATAATAAAATAATATTAATATAATAATAATAATGATGAAAGATTTGGACCCGGTATGAACCAGCTAGCCCACCGAGGGCACACTTCGGAAGGACGGACGGGTTCACCTTGTACATCGACGCATGCAGGCATCTGCCGGAATATTGCTCTATAATTAGGGTTGGCTAATTTGCATAATTTAATCATAGATGAACTAATTAATTAATTAATTAGAATAGTGACGACTGAATTGTGAAAGTTATTTATTTAAGAGTTCAAAACGAACTACCGACATTTAAACAACATAACTATAACGTAAGACACATATGCATGGATAGGACCACCATACTACTGCCACTTACTACAACTGCTGCTATTGAGGCTGCTACCATAACCGCTAATAACGGTAATGATAGAATGAACAATAATTAATTTAAATGAACAATAGATTGAAGGAATGATGATAGACAGATGGAACAGACGCGTAGGACACACCTTTCAATGTTTCCCTCGCGTAGACAGTCACATTTACGATCCTGTATTTAACTTCCGGGTTAAATTTTGGCGCCAAAATGTTCCCGCCACTGCGACTATAATTTTAAAGGTTTATTCTTCTTATTATTATTATTGTTAGATGATTATGAAGATCGTTGACGATGATAATAATGACGACGATCGATAATGGAAATAATTATTTTAAAATTATAATGATAATTATGATCGTAATGAAAGGTGTATAGCACAGATGATAAATTTCAAAAGCTGGTATACATTGGCTACTCTGCATTAAATGTATTCGTAATGAATGGTACATTCAAACAGCCCGAACACGATCATGCTTTGAAGGTGGTGATCATGATGATGAAGATTTTGGTGGTAATGATGATGATGATGAAGATTGAATGGTGATGATGATGAAGATTGTGGTGGTGATGATGATTGGCGACTGAATTTTTAGAAATATTGAATTGAACGCTACACAAATTACTCTCAATGAATCGATAAACAACTGAACAAATATCTAAACATCTAGCTAAGCTTAAACTCAGGCGGGCACCAATTAAGGATTTATAAAAAGGAGCCGAAAGTAACAAACATCAATCTAATTTCGGAGGAAAATCTAACAAGAAATATACCTTTTAATGCTGCTACATCTATTTTAGTTCGATTGAAACCCAACATAAACGTCAACAATAACAACAACTATAATGATGAAGATGATGATGATGACGAAGATGACGATGATAGTAGTGATTCCCGCATTTTCAATCATCATAATCAGAACTCAGCAAAGATTGGTGATGAAAAAGTTTGAAAATTTACCTTTTCATTAACGCACTTTTAAATGTTACATTAAAATCATAAACAGTGCAAGTAAAGTAAAAGTAATGTATGCGTTTGATACATGTAAGAATTAATTGAAAGAGAACTTATAATAATAATAATTATAATTATTATTAATTATGAATATTATTTCCAAATGTTATTAACAATAGCAAAAAATACTCCCAGGAAAGTACAGCAGCGGATGAAAATTCCGTTTTGAAAAGATACAAAAGGGGTATTTACTCAAACCGGAAATACCGGATAACTAAAAGTGAAGTGGCGATAATGATGGAGAGATCTGAGAGGAGAGAGAGTCAGAAAATTAGAGATGTAATCTGCGAGAGAATGGCCGAACCGTCGGAGGCAAAGAATCTATTACGTCACTCTGACGTCACTGAGTTTATGAAAGTATGTTGTGTTGTAGTTGGTGGGGATGAAGCGCTATACAAATGTTTTATTATTATTATTGATATTAATTTCAGATAAAAATGGCGTCATTAATGGATAAGAAACCAGAAGAGATTTCTAATTAAATTGAAGAAAATTTTATTCGTGAATTTGAATTTCAGTCTTTTTAGCTGTAGAAAAACAAAGACTTTGTTATTGTATTAATTAAATTTAAGTACATTTTTAAGAGATAATTAAAATTAAAAAATCAATGAACGAAATATGCCAAAAAGTATGTATTAAATTATTTATTAATTAATTCATTATAAATCTAGCAAAATGTTGAAAATGCTATGGCAAAAATTCAAGTAAGAAGACAATAAAATATAATTAGCATTAAAATGACAACTGAATGTAGCAAGTCATCTGGGCACTGTGACAAATGTTAACTTTGATGCATTAATCAAACTCATGCTTGGTGATATTTCATGACATACGTACAAAATTTTCGAGTTTTAAAATTTATTGATTAATCAACTACTCATTGTTCATTCATTCATTCATTCATTCATTCATTCATTCATTCATTCATTCATTCATTTATTTACTCACTAAATCATTCATTAGTTTATTCATTCAATCAACACATCCATCCAAATTTTATAAACACTCATTATGCGTGATGTTTAAATTAAACTTGAAAGGATTAATTTCAATGTTTTAAATTACTGATTAACTTATCGATTAGCCAAGTGATTGTTTGGTAGAAAATTGTTGAACGATTGAATGAAATGAATGAGTTGATTGATTGATTGATTAATTGATTGATTGAGTGAGTGAGTGATTGATTGAGTGAGTGAGTGAGTGAGTGAGTGAGTGATTGATTGATTGATTGATTGATTGATTGATTGATTGATTGATTGATTGAGTGATTGATTGAGTGATTGATTGAGTGATTGAATTAAGAAAAATATAAAATAATTTTCAACAACCGGGGAAAGTTTCTTCAAATGAACACCATTCCCGTTCAAATACTTCATTAAAATATCTACATTTTTGTCATCTATGTGACAGTCCCCCAGCATACGCACTATAGTTTCGTCTATGTCAACGTTAGGGGGGGTTGGACCGTCCCTATGTCTGTGGAGAGACCTTATTGCTTCCAGGATCTCCCATTTTATCGATTCTACTTCTGCTGTCTTCAATTCAATTTCCTGCTTTATAATTTTAACTGACTGTTCAGTTTTTTCAAATTCTTTTTTCTTTTTATCTCGACATCTTCGTTGTGAGAGCTTGCCTTTTTCTCTTTTTATGGCCAACTTTTCTCGATCAACGTCAGAGGTAGGTTCAATTTCTGTTCCGTCATTTGGCTTCGGAGCGTAGGGATCGGCAGGAGGTGAAGAGGGTGCTGCTGATTGCTGACTGAATTGGGGCTGGGTCGTTTGACTGCCTGATTGCTGGCTGAATTGGGGCTGGGTCGTTTGACTGCCTGATTGCTGGCTGAATTGGGACTGGTTCGTTTGAGTGACTGTAGCCTCTCCGTCATCCTGCTTTCCAGTCTCAGTTTGTTTTTTTCCACGTTTTTTGCGTTGTACATTTCCGGCATCAACGTTTGCCAATTGTATTTTCATATTTCTCGATTGAGATGACTGATTGGCCTGTGTTTGTGAGTTTGCAGGCCTGGCATATGAGCCAGATGGAGTAGGATCGTTATTAGAATTTGTATCACTCTGTGAACCTGGCGCTTTGAACAACTTAGATGCAGTATTGCTGCTTTCGGAAGCTTCTAGACCACTACTTCCAGGCTGTTGATTTGCGTACAAGAAACCACCAACGTCATAAGCACAGGATGGCCGATGAATAGGTTTATTCTGTGTGAAAATGTTGAAATGTAGGGATGTGGTTAACAAATTTCTGTTGCTAGGAATGTTTTGTGGATCGTTAGGCAAGTATGGTGGCGGAGAAAAGGAATGCGACAGTCTGTAGGCTGGCTGGGGTGGAAAATTGCTTTTTAATCGAATGGAAAATTTATTAGCCGATTTATCATCCAGGTTTGTGTAAATTTTAGGTGAGATGTTTTGAGGTGTTAGTTGCTGAGAGGAAAAGCTTGTTTGTTGTTGTTGTTGTTGATGGGGATATAAAGTTTGTTGTTGTTGTTGATGTAGAGGTGATTGTTGTTGCATAGACTGATGTTGCTGTCCATACATCGGTGACTGAAAATGATGCTGTGATATCTGTTGTTGATGTTGGTAGACCTGTTGTCGTTGTTGATGCGATGCTTGTTGTTGGGATATTTGTTGTTTTTGGTATATTTGCTGCTGTTGTTGTTGTTGCGATATTTGTTGTTGAGATGTTTGTTGATATTGGTAAATAAATTGCTGTTGAGGTGATTGTGATGCTGGCAACTTTTGTGCATAATAAGGTTGATAATAAGGATTAGATACCGATTGATGCTGCTGTTGTTGGTAATGAGGCGTATGTTTTTGTTGTTGTTGAGACGTGTGTTGTTGTTGTTGCGGCGTGTATTGTTGTTGTTGAGGCGTAAACTGTTGTTGTTGAGGCGGCATGTATTGTTGGGATGTATGTTGTTGTTGTTGGTGTGTATATTTTTGTTG